GGCAAATTGTTTGAGTGTTGTGTTTTAGCAAGGGCCACTTAAGGCACTTGTCATATTGGTTCAGTACCCGCAAAATGTAACAGATGTGATCTTTCTTCCCCTAGTGAAACCCTTTTCAAGGGAAATGTTGCTAATGTGTGTGTGTACTTCTATTTGCAGATCTTAATAGCGACTTTTAACGGATGTCACCTCTGATATTAAATGTATAAGTAGGGAGTTCTCAAAATAAGGTATTTTGGGAGCTAAATCAAGTTCTAATTAAGTTATTCAAGGACTATATTTTGCTTGTGTAACTGATTAAAATTAAGAACCTAATCCTGTAGTTTGTTTTGTACAGGCAGGCACTGCCCCCAGGCAGAGCCCTCTGATTTCAATGCTTTTTTAATGCTAGACTATTGTAAAAAGCAAAACTTCAACAGGCATAGGGGTCTGCCTGTGCAGAACAGACTTCAAAATAGAGGCCTAAGATCTTGTCCACACAGAGACTTGCACCAGTTTAACTAAAAGGTGTGTTTTTTAAACTGGCTTAGTTAAATTGGTGCAAGTTTGTGTGTAGACACACTAAATTCAGTTTAACAATGGTTTATTTCAGGTTAGCTTTTTTTAATAAACATATTTAATATGGAGCTTGGGATCAATATTCTCCATTTACTGACCCATTTTAGGAAGAAGGCTGGCTACCCAGCCTTCTCCTTACTCCTGACCAGAAGGAGAAGGTAGAGAGAATACATAAAGGTAACGAGATTTGAATGTGGGGAGCAGAGAAGAAGAAACAGATATATGCACTCCCCTTTTAAACAGGGCTATGTTAACATGAACTAGGTACCTTTTAATTAGCTCCAGCAGGGTCTACATGGGCAGTTAGAGCACAACACTTTAAAGGCCTCTACAATTCACACTCTGAAAGTCCAGATGTGGCACTGTGTAGACAAGACCCAAGAAAGGCTGAATATAAAGCTGATGCTGGCTCAAACGCACAGTGAGCCGTAGCCATCTGTTTTTTGCAGGATCTATGCTTTCCAAAGTTTCACTTACACACATTTACAGACGTTTACAGGAAACATAAGTGAAATTAATGTTTCATTATTTTGTGGAGTTGTCAGAATCCATTCAAGGTGGAGTCTGAACCAGGAATTCTTGGATCTCAGACTGGTACCCCTAATTTTTTGAAAGAAAGGAAAATTTCAGTCAGAGGGGGTTGTATAAGCAGCTTATTTGATAGTAAAGTTTGTCATTAATAGAGAAAATCATCCCTATGCAAAGGATCTGCACTGTGAACCATTTAAACTCTATTTTGAGGGATTAAGTCGACTCCATACATTGCTGATGAGACTGCTGATGCCATAGCCCTGGCTGCTGATTTTGCCGCATCCAGAGCTGCCTGGAGGAAGGTCCTAGCCACTGTCTTGCTTTCCTCTAGAATTGCTGTGAACTCCCGCCTTGTCTCCTGTGGCAGGGAGTCCTTAAATTTAGCCATCAAGTCCCACATCTTAAAAATCATACTTCCCCAGACGAGCCAGGTGGTTAGAGATATGTAACTGGAGGCTACTCGTCAAATAAACCTTGCATCCAAACATGTCCAGTCTCTTAGCCGCTTTATTTTCCAGGGATAGCGCTTGACTGCCCAACTTTCATGACTGGGGCATGCCATCTCTGGAGCAAAAGTCCCCCAATGACATGGACAACTATTCACACTACTCTATACACTAACACTAAGAACAAGAGACACTAACTAAAATAACTATACAATATACTACAAAAGTCCAAACCACTGGGAAAGAAGCCTTTCAAGAGCAAGAAGGATCGTTCCAAGCAAGTCACGGGTGGCATGAAGGAACAGAGAGGGTGCAGCGGCGCCCCTTTTCCAGGCGCATATGCACGTGGCTCCAGGGGGTGCTAGAATTGGTCCTACGAATAACACTGAAGGAAAAATCTCTGGCAACTGTGCACACAGCACGCAAACACGTAGCATGGAATGGACACGAGCAAGCACTCCAAGAACAGTATGTGATTAGAGACTATCATAATCCATCAGCACAAGGGGGCTGAATTAAGGTTGCACAGGCAACTTTAATTTCTTAAGTTTTTTTAAAACTTTAAAATTCAAAAAACACATTACATCCTGTGGAACCATTCACCCCCAAGTGGGTCATCAGCACAGATGGGATCTTTAGATCCATAGTGTAGGCTTCTCTCATTTGAGCTAAAGAATGAACTGGAAGTTGTAGAAGGCGATCTTCTACATGGACCTGCCACAAAAGGTGTATGGAGAGACACTCTCAGTGGGTTTCACTATTTCCTAGACAGCAAAGGAATACATTTACTCAGGATTCTTGGGTTCAGATCCAGGTTCTGTAGGGCAGGGTTTCTAGTGGTTATATATCCTCCTGCCCCTATGACCTCAGCCTGTCCCTGACTCACTTTGCTCTCATGTCTCCCATCCCCAGCTCCTGTCCCTTCCCTCCTATTGTCCCACAAATTTCCCCCCACCCCAGCTCACCTATCTCTGCTTCCATCCCTCCCTCTCCCCTAATCTCCATCTTTTTCTCCCCACTGTTGCTGCCCTTGTCCCTTCAGTCCTACTAATGTGCCTCCCACCCTCTGCCTTCAACTCAGACAGCTGCCTCCTTTTCCTCCAAGCAGTCTGGATGCCAGCAGCAGGTGTATTGAGCACACAGGAGTCTCCCAACTCTCAACTGTGGCGACCACTGCTACAGCAGCCCCCAGGAGAAGCAATTGCAGGGAAAAGTCCTGTTCAGCTGCTGAAGTCCCTTGACGGAGTGTGTCAGTTGCTCTGGGGGTGACACATGTGCAGTCCAATTGGCACATAGGAGCTGAGAGGGGACTGGAGCATGCTTGGTGCAGACAGGATCGGAAGAATGTAGCTGCTAATCTAGCAAGTTTCTACTAAGCATGTGCAATCAGAGATTTTTCAAAGATTTGTACCTTAGCTGAATTTGATGGAGATGGTAAGAGCCACATCCCTGATACACAGGCTAGCCTCAAATTTCAAGTCCCTGCTCCAAAGCATGAAACTGCTAGAGGTTCTCAACAAAATGGTCATAAGAGTTTTACCCATGTTAAATAATATATTTTTCCCTTACCACATTTTGACAAACAGATTAACCATTTTAGATTAAACTAAAAAAAAGAGAGACACCAGCTGACCAGACACCCACCATGGAGAATTTCAGCCCAGTTAAAGTTGGCCAAAGTTAGACGCTCCTAAAACAATGATGGTTTTATAACTGAAAGTCACCACGTATAATATTGGAAAGGACCTTAGTGAATTGTTTACATAATTTGCAAGGCAATTATAATATAAACAATATGACAAGTTATAAAATGAAAGCGTTAACCAAAAACAACCTCTCATAATTTGAGAAGTGAGGTATCTCAGGGTTGAGATTGTTCTGGATTTTAAAATAAGTTTATGCACAGACTTTAGTTCCATGTTCTCACTTTTCCGCAAAATCCACAGCTCCCCCCTTCCCTCGGCCCAGCACTTCTCCATGGACCAAGAGCTTCCCACTTCCAAGAGCATCACACAGGCTCAAGTGACTCTCCTGCCTTGTAGCTGTTCCTCACAGCAGGAGCAGGGACAGGCAGGTCATCTTGCAAATTTTGCTGGTATCAGTGATGGCGGGAGAGTCATCCTGCAGTCTCCAGCTGTGGAACAGCTGGTCAAGCAAAAAATAAAATAAAAAAGGGGTCCTTTCTGATGGTGGGCTGTTTGTGGATAGGCCCACTTTGGTTATTGAGATCTGCAGGTATCCCTCCCCTTAGCTGGTGTGATAGGTGGAGTTGTTGTCTGCCCAGACTGGTACATAGGTAATAGAGCTCCATACTTTCTTCCAACACCAGCTTTTCTGACTCAGTGGCTGGGCAGGCACACATAAGCAGAAAGAGGGGCAGACCGCAGTGGCTATAGTATTCTCTTTCAGTGCAACAGCATTTTGGCCATAGCTCATGGGCTGCTGAAGCAGCTAACTCTAGAAGAGTATATAGTGCGCCCCATGTGCACACTGGTGAGGAAATGCAAGACGACAACTCTCCGTGCAATAGTCACCATAGTTGTGGCTATAGTTGGTACCCTTGGAGAGGGTTAAAATGGTAATAAATAAAGCCAACCTTAGCATGTGGATTTTTTTAAGGGTGTGTGTGCAGGGGCATTACAGAATTTGACTTCCATCCATGGGTAACATCAATACACACAGCCAGCCTAAGAACTGTGAGAAGGTTGAGCAAAATGATTTTATTTCACATAACGAGAATACAGGGGAAGGCAAGAGGGAAGCACCTTCAGGTTCCCTTTGCTTGCTGCAGAAATGGAGCCCAGCTGAATCTCCCTTTCTAGCTTTGCAAATAGTTTACATTTTCATATCTGTACACACTAGGAGACAAGTGTGTGTGTGTATATATATGAATGAATGAATGAAAGCTGTGATTCTTTTTTACAAGAGCTCAGTCCCCCCTTCTCTTGCTCATCACTAATTTTGGCAACACCTGATCCCTTTCTGCTGCTGGCCAAACATGGCACTTCAGAAGTCATTCCTTATTCAATGAAGAGTCTGTGCTCAGCACAGATGGGTCTTGCAGGGTGCCACATGGGTGTACACCCAGTGCTTTAGGGTTTGCTCTATGTTCTTCACTTTCACCAACACAACAGCTGGGGCAGACTATGAGAACTAATCTAATTCTTTAGTTCAGTTTTAAGACAAAGCAAGGAGGTCTCAGCTTAAGAGGTCTGCTTTGTCAAAGTGGGATTAGGGTTCACTGTATCACCTATTTTGGTATCACAATATGCTCAGTTTACAAGTAAAGAATATTTTTTCATAACTGCCATATTCACAAACACGTCTTAGCAACTCAATGCCAAGCTGGGTTCTGTCTCACCCAGGTTTGCAACATTAAGCCAGAATAGAAACCAGCGCCTATTTCTGAGCTATGTTGGTTCTCCAGGACTAAGAGCAGTAAAAACCAAGCAAAACACATACAGGTATAATTCTGAATAGACAGGCATCAGGTTTATTGAATACAATAATTATGTAGCCACTTTTCAGAGTAAACTATACTTGAAAGATATTCAGACCATACTGATGAAAACCGAGATGAAACAAAAAGAAAATAAGACTACAATCCTGGCACTTCTTCAAGCTGCCAGTGGTGTCTTCATTCCTCAATTCCTGGAAGAGAAGAAAAACAACTGTGGCACCAAATGCATGCAGAACCAAAGGAGAAACTCAACTGAGGAGCAATGAGGCTCAAAATCTAGATGTGTTGACAACATAAGGCGTCACATGACTTCAGCATGATCAACGGGGGCTAGAGAGCCCAACAGCGCAACATATCTGCAAATTCATTTCCTCCCAGAACAGAGACTGGCTGATGCTTTGGGTGCATAATACAATGACGTCTCTCATGAGAAACTTAAATAGTATGTTTATTAAAACAGACTCAAAGAAGTTGGAGAGAGGGATGACAAGGTATTACTATGTTCTAGGGTGTCATTGTGAGCCACGCAGCCCACAAAGCCCTGTTAGTGCCCTGAGAATTTCTCCTTTACATGTAGTCAGAAAGGGACTGATCTTACAACAGAGGACACAAAGCAGCACAGCACCTAAAGAATAAGAGAGATATTCCTATGGGCCATTTTTAGAATAGTTCAGCACTCTGAAGATGAACAAGCAGTCACTACATGACCTAAGTGATGGAAGCAAACTGCTTATTCAGTGAATATCTCTGGATAACAAAACCGTGACAGATTTTTCTAAAATTGAAAAACAAACAGTGTAAAGTTTTCCTAGAAGGAACCAGCAGAACATTGCAGCTGTAAGTATTTAAAAAAAGGAAACAAGGAAAAAAATTCAATCATGATCTAAGCAAGTGTTCCCACATTCCAGTATTGTTCCCGCATTCCACAAAAAAAAAAAAAAAAAACCCACCGTGCTATAGCATGTTGTACTTTTTAGCTATTCAAAACAGTGCAATAAATGTCAGTAACCCCATGTGGCTATTCTCTTATACAACTTCCCTCCCACCCAAGAATTCTACTAAATTAATGGAATGTTGCCAGGGGTTGTCCAGTTTTAGCCAAAGATACACTGGAAATTGGTTTACAGAATGAATGGGCCAGTTATCAGTGACTAGAGCAGCTGAAGGCTGTGTAAATTAACATAATTTGTCACTCTTCACAGTGTTGTCCACAGAATAAAGAGTTCTTACAGAGCATCAGCCTCCAACTTTTGGCACCTTAAAACCCACATGACCTGTAAACAAAAAACACACAGCCCCCAGTACCAATCATGTTCAAAACACAATAATACATTATAGTCATGTCAGTAGCACCAAGATGTAACTGCTAATCAACATCATCTAGAACAATCCTGTTAACATTAGCATCGTGACTGTTCAAATATTGCTATCATTGCAGAGATGTATAATGAAATTCTTGCTAACACGATGTATTTTGTAGAGCAATGCAAGACTAAAAAACCAAAATAAAAGCCCAGCACCAATAGAACAGTTGACGTGATGATCAATCCTTGTTAATCCATTGAAATTTTAATACCATAAAAGTAACTTCATTATTGGATATTACATCTTCATGGTTGACCAAGTTCAGCTCATTACATCATTTTAGTACACTTTACAGCAATCTTTATTCCACCTTTCAGAATTAGTTATGTACCTTAATAAGCTTCCAATCCACTGGCCTTTTTCCTGGAGCATATTTTATCCAGTAGCAGTACGTGTGAGGCTACAGTAAATGTGCATATGTAAAAATGAAAACAATAGTATTTGCTTGCATCCATTCAATTTATATCAACAGAATATTTCGACAGGAGAACCTCTCCTGAACTCTAAATAGGTCCGTTTACTGCTGTTTACAAGTAGGTAGTTCTAATTAGCTTTGGGTGAGCTATTTGATAAAACCAAACTTGATGATACAAGGAAATCCAAGGCAGGTTTCATTAAATAAATTTATTTGTTAAAATAATTTAACTCCAAATACAACTGCTGAGTTTGCATTGAGTTCTATGTACAATTCTTGTTTTATTTGAAACATCAAGGTTTAACAACTGACATTGTTACAAAACAATAAATTGTTGCCCTATCTATAGGTTGCCAGTTGTACTAGAGCTCAACAATTAACTGTGAAATATATTTAGTCACCTCTGGGAAACCCCAAATCAATACCGTTAAGCCTGGTTCCAAAACCCCCTGCAACCATTCTTGAGACCTGATGCACAACAATGCAGATAAAAGCCTTCTGCTGTTGTCAAACGTTTGCTTTGTCAGAGTTTCACCATTAAAGCCTAAGCAGTACTTTGATTCTACACTGGTAAAAAGAAAAACCAAACATGCACAACCCACCCCCAGCCAAATGGCTGACATCTTTAGGCAACATTCTTTATACAGGAAAGCAAATACCAGTAGTTTTCCCACAGAAAAGTGATGGCAACTGTAGCACTGGGGTTAGAGAGAGGCTAGTTACTTGTTGGCCAAACCAGAACAGAAAGTTATCAAAAGCTGCTTTTGATGCTCTAATAAAAAACCCCATGTGTAAATACTTTTGATCTGATGCTGGTTTATTTATTTTGCCTACTTTTAAAAAATGGGAGAAAACAGTTACTACCATTATCACAGCCGAAAAAAATAAAAGCTGCAACGTTTAAAAAAGCCAAAAAAAAAAAACCAAACAAAAAACGCCCCCAAACCAATAAAACTTTAAAAATGCTGTCTTTGTAGAAAAGTACAAAACTCTACAAGAACAGCTAAAGAAAACATGGGTCTTTGGATCAAACCATAATATTTTAAGGCATGTTATAAAAAACTTTCACATACTATAATTGGTAGTCTGATCAGGGTACAAAGAAAGAGATGACCCAAGACCACTGACTTTCTCCAGGTGGCCACCTATCTTGAATGTGGCTCATTTAACTACCCTCTTGCTATCCTTATGCTTTCAAAAATATCTTAGCCAAATGCAACTGTCATTGATTCAAGCTCCACTATATTCACATCAGTGGAAACACAAATAGTGCACAACTACCTCCTTAGAATTATACAATAAAGAGAAGAACATTTACATTTCCCCCCGCCCAACACCCCGGAATGTTGTGTGTTGATGTGTGTTGCTTAGTCATTACAAATGTAAAATGGCAAGAAAAACATGTCTCAGAAGTATCTTTTTTACTAAAATTTTCTGTTTAGAATTTTACTTGTGCAGTTTTTCCTAAATTAAAAGCCCATCTGTTTTATGTTACAACTTAGGCCTTTCATACATATTATTTATACCACTTTATTGGTGGCACAGCCATTTTTTATATAAGATCTTAGCAGTTTGTGTATAATATTGCTCAACATGCACTCCAAACTGTAAATTGGTATCAACTGGTAAACTGTAAATTGGTAAACTGTAAATTGGTAAAATGTTTCTGAGCACTCAGGCACTAGGTCTCAAATTGACAAGCTGCCTATTTTATTATTAGATTGTATAGTTTCATTAGACCCCTCCTCCATTTAAATATTTTAGGAAGTGAAGATACCATTGATTCAAGTCTCAAATTTTGCTTACGCACACACACATGGTTAATATTAGGTGAAAAAGGTGCACCAAATGTGGAAATTAGCTGGTAGGAAAAACCTACATTACAAGGATTTAGAAAAATCTGACTAGTAGGGCCGCACATTTATCAGACTTAACATCCTTGTGTCCTCGAAAAGCTTTTCAAGGTCTAAGGGCAGTGGTGGCCAGTTCTTTTCCATCACTAATATTTCCATTAGCTGTCACCCACTGAACAAGATTAAAAATGTTACTATATTAAAAAGAAATTTTGGGAAGCTGTTTTATACTTGCGTTTTTCATTTCAAAGATTAAGAGCATTTTTAAAGCAGTTCTGCTGATGGAGGTAAATCTGTCCAAACTCCAATTACAACATTTCTAAGGGATACATACACACACCCAACACATGCACCCCTGTTTTCACTCATTTACACACAAGGAACTACACTGTTACTGCACTAGACTGAGAAACTAATAAAATGCATGGTGGTATTTAGACCACAGGCTCAGTGATATTGCATTTTGATGACCAAATTTTATCTATAAAGGTCCAGCTCAAGACAATCGTTCCAACATATAAAACTTAAACATTTTGATTGAAAACTTTTCTATACTTGATTGTAAGACTTCAGAATAGATATTTCTGTGCCATTAGTCATGCAAATGATAAATACTTCACTGCTAGGAAAACTAGAATGTCAGAGCTTGAGCACCCTTGCAAAACAAAATATTTGCTCCCACTATTTGATACCCTAATAATCAGGGCAATCTTTGAATAGTGTCAGGCAATTACACAAAAGCTTTTTCCTTTCTCACCTACAGTATAACCATAACCTATATTCCTCCTGTGAGCCAAAATGATTTCATATGGTTATTCAATTAACAAAGTGGCCAACATTAAAGCTATGAAATAGCAAACTTGATTTCCAAAGGTTAGTTAGGGATCACACGAAAAAAAAAAACTTAGCCCTTAAAGGCAAGAAAGAAATTATCTTCTTTAGCAAACTTAAAAATGCAGGATGTTCGTACTGCCCCATGAGGTTTCTGCAAAAGGGAACATCTGGATGCAACATGGCTTTGTTTTCCTTACAAGATGGTACTAGTTAATCTATTAAAGTGTTCCTTGTTAGTAAGGCTAAGCAATTTTTTTCATCACAGTTGCTTCCTCCTGGTTCAGTAAAGTGATAAAGATGTTTCCTGCTTTGTAAACAGAGGGTTTGTTTGGCTTTTTGTCTGACCAAAATCTGAAGTGATCCTCCATTCTTGAGCAGCAAAGTGGAAGATTTAAAACATTCCAATGCCATATCATGTTTTTTCACTAGCTTTTAGTTTTTCAGATCTTCTCTCTTCTTTCAAGTACTGATGCAGTGCTTTCTAGTTCACAAGATGGGATAAAGTGTAGAAATTGCATCAATTTTGGGAAAAAAGAACTATATAGGTCTTGTAGATCATATCTGTCTCTAAAACTGTCAGAAGTTCAGATGAAAACAGTATACTTGTTTGTGTAAACTTGGCCACAAGCAAAAGTGCAACTCCTGAAATTCAGTATATCGAAACTGAAAGGCTTTCCTCTCCTTTTGCGTTTATCAGTACAGAATACGCTAATTGCAAGTAATTTTTCCAGGTCTTCCCTCTAGCGATTTCAATTTTCACCACCAGGAATTTTCTAATTTATGAAATAGCTGCTGCTGTCTGACATAATGCAAATACATATAGTTCACTGAGATCACCCTGTAGATCAACTGTCTATGATGAAATTGTAGGTGCACAAGGGCGTATTGGGTGAGAAATTGTAGTTTAACCCCATTATGTTCAGAGACAGCGATTGACTTTCAATGCTCAGCTCTGATTTAAAGTTGTTACTTCACTTATGATTTATTCCAAGTGACCCACAAACCAGGAAATGAGGCAGACAGTTTTACCACTTTACAAAAATTCTGCAGATTAAGTCCAGGTTAGGTAATTTTTAATGCTATTGAATATTACATGCAGAACAGCATGGATCATCTTTGTCTGGCTGAGCTGCATAGTTCATTTGTCTAACGATTTCTGCAAAGAGCTCATCCACCATTGTTTTACTTTTAGCAGAGGTCTCCATAAAAGGACAGCCCCATTCTTCAGCCAGAGCTCTGCCTTCATTTGAAGATACTTCCCTCTCACTCTCCAGGTCCACTTTATTACCAACCAAAATTACTGGCACCTTCTCATACCTATAATTCAAAACAAAAAGAGAATTAAGTTTCCTTAAAATAGATTATGATTTTTCTCACATACAAACAGTGCATACCATGAGAAATAATTCTGTCATTCATCAAAACCTACTTTATAGTTCAAAACGCTACACAAGCTTTTGCTTTTTTCTCATGCTAGTTTATTACAGCACCTCCCTTCAGAGTTTTCTAATGAATGCTTCTTCCTCTTAATTTTCTCTCCTGTCAGGAACACTTACAACTCTAGCTCTTTTGGTGTGGAACAAAATTTCTTCCCACTCCAACACGGTCCAGATTAGGATTTGGGAGCGGCTGGAGGTTCAAGCCTCCTTCCAACTTTAATTTATTTAGGTCCACACTTTATGTCTACACAGCAAGCCTCCCAGTCCAGAAAGACAGACTCACACAAGCTGAGTTCAAGCTAGCATGGTAAAAATAGCAGTGTGGACATTATGGCTCCAGAGCAGACTCAAGCTAGTCACCCGAGTTCAAACAAAACAAAGAACACACTGTGAACGTGTTATTTAAGCTGCAAAGTCAAACACTCAAAAGTTAAAAAGAAAAGGAGTACTTGTGGCACCTTAGAGACTAACCAATTTATTTGAGCATGAGCTTTCGTGAGCTACAGCTCACTTCATCAGATGTTATACCGTGGAAACTGCAGCAGACTTTATATACACACAGAGAATATGAAACAATACCTCCTCCCACCCCACTGTCCTGCTGGTAATAAGCTATTACCAGCAGGACAGTGGGGTGGGAGGAGGTATTGTTTCATATTCTCTGTGTGTATATAAAGTCTGCTGCAGTTTCCACGGTATAACATCTGATGAAGTGAGCTGTAGCTCACGAAAGCTCATGCTCAAATAAATTGGTTAGTCTCTAAGGTGCCACAAGTACTCCTTTTCTTTTTGCGAATACAGACTAACACGGCTGTTCCTCTGAAACCACTCAAAAGTTAGGAAGTGCAAGAATAAGGTTGCACAGACTACTTTAAATTCAGCCCCCTGGTGTGAATGCATTGTGATACAGTCTTTAAACTACACAATTGCAAATTATTTTTTCCACGGGACCTCTACCACACTCAGTGGACTGAATGGATGGGCTCAATGAAAGACAGCTATTCAGTGTTTTTTACCCTCATGATTCAATGTGGGGCCCATGGTTTATTTGCTGTACAGCACCCAAACCCTGCTCTGAATACAGCATTACCCATTTCTTTGTCATCTTTTGTTATCTTTAGTTGCCTCATAAACATAAGTGAATTTATCTTCACAACTCCTTGGGTGATGAGTATTCACCTTATTTTACAGATGAGGAAACACATTCAGAGCAATTTACCTGAGGCCATACAATGATTCATTGAGAGTCAGAATTCGACAAAGAACATCCTGATTCCCAACCCTGCACTCATTCTTCAGATGACACTGCCTTACTGCCAGAGGTATTGAACATCTATAGCTCCCAATGACTTAATTATGAGTGCCTGGCACTTCTGAAAGTCAAGACAGCTGGGGCCTCATGGGGGCTGAGAAAAGAAACGCAATTGGTGGCTATGAAAAGTCTGGTTTAATTGATTTGCTCAGCATCACACAAACTCTGTAACAAAGGTAGGAACAGAATCTAGTTCTCCTGTGTTGCGTTTACCTACCTTAACTAGGCCATCCTTTCACTTCCTACATTCCCCATCTTCATTTACTACATATCTTCCCATTACTAGACTCTATATTGTATAACAGAGATCTTACAGATATCAGTCTTATACACAAATCCCTGAGCACAGGCCATCATGTAATCTAAACAAGGTTGGGTCCTGCAGAAAAACAGTCTCATCACATGATCACACTATCATAATGCATAGGCACCATGGGGCTGAATTCAGGTTGCCTATGCAAAGTAAATTCTGGTATTACTTAACTTTTGAGGACCGTTTTTCAGTGTAACAATTTTTTTTTTTCAAATTGTGAAGTTACGTACTAAAAAAAAAAAGGAACAACTGTATTATGTGCAACTAACAGCTTTGGCCACGTGCTGGGCCCAGGAAATGGTCAGGGGTAGCACAATCTTGTTCCCCCTCCCCAGGGATACACGCGTGTTCTTCAAGATTGGGAAGAGGAGAGGGTGTTCCTACCTCAAGAGGGGAATGGACATCTAGAACGGTATGCGGTATCTGGGGGTGATTGGAAGGAGCCTAGTCCGGCTCTCTTCCTCACCCTCTTGTGCGTAAGGGGCTTCTGCCCTATGTGGTGTTCCTGGCAGGTGGATGGGTTTGCTTAAGTCGAGTCTGGGGGATGAGCCTGGTCAAACTCTCCTCATCTCCACCACAGCAGCTCTAGTAGCAGGCAGGCTCCAACTGCTCCCAAGGGTCCCCAGTACTGTGCATGCTGCTGCTACAGCAGGGGGTTCAACCTTAGAATATTCAGATTTTGGCATGTTACCAAAATGATTCAGTGGGACCTAAGCCAGAAATGGGAAATGGTGATTTTCCATATCTTATAACTCAGCCAAAATTGAAACGAATTTGATGGGAGAAGCAAGAGGCACATCCCTGGTGACAGCCCCTTTCCCCTGTCAAATTTCTAAATCCTGAGGCAAATATTTGAGGGGTTCTTAAAATAAGGTTGCAAGAATCTTTTATAATGGAAACTGTTAGAGAGGCACTAATATAGGTGTTGCTGCCAGTTCCCTCTATAATAACAATGCACTGAAATGCATATTTTAGGGCAAACATTTACAGTATAATGTGATAAAGGCACAAAGATAGAGCCTTGCTTTACTAGATTAACTTTACGACCAAGGATTTTACAGAAGCAACTATGTACACGGCGAAGTCTTTGCAGAACGATATGCTAAAGCCTGTCTCAAAATGGGTGTACTCTCTATCTTGATCTTGAGAGGTACTGACAACTCCTACAGATGTTACACGATCAGGCTCTTTGTAGCCAAATCAACAGAGACATTGACACTGATTCAATTTTCACCCTATGTGGACTTTTACTTCTGTCCAGTTACATTCCCACACTCATCTAAGACAGCAAAACACTAATCTGTTCTATGGACATTGCTTTGTACTACAAACCAAACTAACATGTATGAGGAAGTAATAACGCATTACAGAATTCCAACTTGGGTAATTAAGTTCTACATAAATTCCTTCTGTAGTTCCAAATGAAAAAAGTGTTCTTGACTTCCTGTTCTTCATTGTTGGGTAACACTTCTGTGCACTGTGGAACAGTTGTTACCTCACATATGACTGCATTTCAGTTTTGCATGAAGTGATCTCGGTTTATAGTTTAAATACCAGTTCACTGAATTTTAAAGACATTTTAGGATCCTTCAAGATGAAAAATATTGTATAAAATGTATCAATGTGAGCTTATTAGGTGTGTGGCAATTCTCCAAAAAGGACCCTGTTTTTTGGAGTTTCATGTACCCATCATACACACATCCACATCATCTGAAAGCTTATTTTCTGTAAGTTTAGATGAGGTACGAGGTGGTGTGTCAAGTGGTGCCACAAGCCTGACGGTGACATTCTCATTGTTGCACATCATTTTTTGCACAGTTCCAGAAACACTAAAACATGACTATGACAACAGTTTTTGCTCTTTAATTTAATTTCAGCACCTTAATGTGGTGTTGAATTGGTCAAAGCTTAATTGGTCAAAGCTATCAAACAACAATATTTGTATTGGTTTTGCATGGGCAATATTTTTTTCCAGAAATGAAGCTGTTTAGCATGTGGCAAAAATGCCAAATATCAACATTTTACAAATACATTAATATGAGATGTTTTCACATTGCTGTATTTTCAATTGAAATTTCCTGACCAGATCAGTCTCACACTGAAGGCTGTGCACCAGGAGCAGTAGATTGTGTGCCCATAGATTGTACCACATAATAGGTAGATATAAATGTATGTGAATTCCTAATGTAAAGCTATCCGTTTGTAAGCTTTTGTACGTACAATGTAGCACCTAGCCTGCCTAGCAGAAGGTTTGAGTTTGTAATTGCCTATGCATAGTGCTCCGTGCCTGTCACGGAGGTCGTGGAAGTCACGGATTCTGTTTGATACAAATGTAGACCTAGTTTAGTACAAGTCTGTATACTTGGACAATGGAAAAATGGTGGTAGTGGCAGTGGTAACGCTAACAATATTCTGTGGGAATTTTACCTCTAAAGGGAAGTTCGAGTTTATGAAAGCATGGAGGATATGAGCCCCTTAAAGCTTACATCAAAGAGAAAAAGACTCTCCACAAGTTTGGAAAAATGCATGGTCATGAAGATCAAAAGAATGCAAAAAACCATCAACAGACACCAGTGCTGGAGAGACTTCTGTGATGCTCGCAGCAGGAGCCAGGAAAGATGAATTGGTACGAGTGGCCACTGGATTAATTTTCTACTTTAGATGATGTGTCACCAATACTCTGTCACAGGGGCTATTTTCAGAAATACACAAGCAAGCAGAATTTGGCACATATCAGAGTTGCAGAGAACCCAAGAAAGAACACAGACTCAATCTGATCAGAGAGCATCACGTTCACCTGCATCTACAGCATGCACGTCCTCCAGCAACTGGTCCATTTGCCTTGTTTGCTTGAGAAAACACACACAAAAGGAGAAACTTCATAAGAGAAACATTTGAGAGAGCAACCAATCTAAGGGAGGTGACACTTCAGAGGAACTGACACGACATGTTGTGCAGAACATCTGTGGAAGACTTGATTGCTAAGGATGCAGTTTATCAGTCAACATGCCTTTCTTCCTACTTGAGTAAAATGAAATCTTAAGGCAAAACCATCTAGATACAATGTAACAATACAGTCACCTTATGACACTGCATTTTATCAGCTGACTGAAGAGACAAAGATCTTATGTATAACAAGAAGGCTCTGCTCCTGTCCAACCTGCTACAAAAGATATAAAACCCTATTTCCCTCAGATGTAGAAACTGAAAGATATTTCAGGAGCAAATTACAATCAAGATTAGAAAAATAAAT